GAACGTGAGACGGAAGTCTCGTCCGTAGATGGTGCAGATGACGCGTGCTGTTGACCGGGACGTGAGAACGAGGTCTCTGATGTATCTAGCGTGGGATCCGAGGTAGACGTAGAGATCTCGCTAGAAGGTTTGATAGGTCCAGCATTGAGTCTAAAGTTGTCGGGTAGGGCACTGTCATCGACGTGTGCTGGTTTGAGACGATCAATGCTGACGATCTCGACGCGGCCGTGTCGATCAACCTTGAAGGTCTTTTCGTGACGAGAGATCACGTGAAAAGGGCCTTCGTAAGGCTGTTGTAGATGTTTGCGTACCGAATCTACTCGTATGAAAACATGTGAACAGGTAGATAACTGTCGAGGGAGAGCGACTTGTCGATGTTGTATTCGAGTTGACACCGGAGACAGCGTTCGCATAAATGCAGACAGTCGATGGACGTAGTCTGATTTACCGAGATCATTACTGCTCCGTGGTGTGAAGAATTCCTCAGGCAGACGCAATGTCGTGCCGTATACAAGTTCAGCGGCGGAACATTGGATATCTGCCTTCAAACTCGTTCTGATGCCTAAAAGAACGAGCGGTAAGGTTTCGTACCAATTGTCGTTTTCGTGTGCTCGAAGAGCATTTTTAAGTTGGCGGTGAAACCTTTCGACTAAACCATTCGATGCTGGATGGTAGGCGGTAGTGTGTATGCGTTCCGTACCAAGCAGCCGGGTCAGTGAGGAGAATAATGTGGACTCAAATTGTTCTCCTCGGTCAGTCGTGACAGTCGAGGGACAACCGTACAATGCTATCCATCGTTCTACGAAGCGGTGAGCAACTGTCTCCGCCGTGATAGACGTGATGGGAATAGCTTCGGGCTATCTTGTAAAACGGTCAATGCACGTGAGTATGTGATCATACGCATGCGATGGTGGCAATTGTCCTACAATGTCTATATGAACGTGATAAAAGCGAGCATCAGGCGTAGCGAACGTGCCAATGGGGGCAGCTACGTACCTGTGCACTTATGATCGTTGACACTGTAAGCATTGCTTTACCCACATACGAACATCTTTATTCATGGACGGCCAGACATATCGTGCAGCGATGAGACGTAATGTGGCTGCGATATCTAGATGAGACAATCCATGAAGGGCATCGAAGACGAGACGGCGATAGGCAGAGGGTACGATGGGTCGAGGAAGACCGGTAGAAATATCACATAGGATAGTACCTGAGCTAGTAGCTAGGGGTACTTCCTGACACTGAAGGGACGAAGATTGTGGTGCTTCTGTACAGACAGGATCGTTTGCTTGCGCGGCGGCCATAGCAGGAAGATCGAGCACCGGTAAGGTAACTGCATTCGTCTGGATACGTGAAAGAGCATCGGCAACATAGTTCGACTCGCCTTTAATGTGACGAAGGTCTGTCGTGAACTGGGAGATATAGTCCAAATGTCTGCACTCTCGTGGTGAGTAGCGGTCAGACTTGGTATGCAGGGCATACGTTAAGGGCTTATGGTCGGTGAATAAAATGAAATGGCGTCCTTCTGATGCGTGCCGGAAATGTTTGATGGCGCAGTAGGCTGCAAGCAGCTCGCGACCAAAAGCGCTATATCTCGTCTCCGTGCGAGTAAGGCGTCGTGAGAAAAATTCTAGGGGTTGCCAACTACCGGAGATATTCTGTTGCATAACGGCTCCTATAGCGAAATCTGATGCATCAACCGCTATACTAAGCGTGGCTGATGGGTCAGGATGAGCGAGGAGTGTAACTTCAGCGAGAGCCATTTTGATCTGTGAAAATGCAGTACGTGCGGTATCGTTCAATTCTAATTTGCGTGGATTACCGCGTAGTAAATCGGTTGACGGTCGTAACCGTTCTGCCGCGTGAGGGATAAAACGTCGGTAGAAGTTAACCAAACCGAGAAAAGCCTTCAGTTCCTTGAGTGAGAACGGCACGTTGTACTCCTTGATTGCTCGAACTTTGTCCTCGCAAGGCAGAATACCCTCTTGTTTGATGATGTGACCCAGAAATATTATTTCTGATTTACCCAATTCACATTTCTCTGGGTTGACTACTATTCCATTATCCGAAAGACGTTGGAATAATAGCGTAAGGTGTTGATAATGTTCATATACGTTTGATGATGCGATCAGCAGGTCATCAATATAGACGTGAACAAAATCCAAGTCTCGTACTATGCTATCGATAAACCTTTGGAAAGTTTGAGCAGCATTCCGTAATCCAAATGGCATTCGTAGGAACTCAAACAGACCGAAAGGAGTCGTGATAGCAGTTTTTTTGATGTCTTCAAGAGCGACTGGGATCTGGTGATATGCTCGTACCAGATTGATTTTAGAAAAGATAGTCGTGCCCTTGAGCGATGCCGTGATGTCGTGTATGTGGAGGATGGGGTAACTATCAAAGCGCGTAACTACGTTTAATGCTCGGAAGTCGCCGCATGGTCTCCAACTAACCCCATCCTTTTTGCGCATCATGTGTAAAGGAGAGGCCCAAGGACTGTGAGAAGGACGAATAATACCAGCAGATAGTAAATTGTCAAACTCACGTTTAGCGTGGAATTTATCGTCACGCGAATAAAAAGTTCCGAGGATTCGGTACGCGTTTGTGTGAGCTTTAAAGCCCATGAATTTACTGTTCGACGAAGTATCGATTAGCTGCAGCCTACGTGAATCGACTAGCAATTCATAGTGCTGTAGGAAATCAATACCTAGTATGGCTGTGGGAACATCAGCAATGATGAACGTCCACAGATACCGTCGTCGGTTGCCCAGGTTGACCGCGAGTTGTCGTGTACCGTAGGTAGGAATGGCTGAGCCGTTTGCAGCTCGTAGTCAAAGAATTGTAGCTTGTGACTTGATGCTACCTCGTGGTACGACAGAAACTTGGGCACCTGTATCCACTAGGTACCTAGCGTTTGTGCGATAATCGTGCACGTAAAATAAACGACCAACCTGGGGGGCAGGGCCGGCGAGTACGGCCGCTTTTACTCGCCGGCTTTGGAGTTTCCCGCCTTGCATGAGCACGGGGCTCGACAACGGCGGGCACCAGATCCGAAGGATCGATGAAACCAGCACCAACCCTCACTCGCTTCCGAAGCCGCCTTTTGGCGTGGCTTGGAAGATGCCCTCGTTGGGCGAGTGTTGACGGCTTTTCGAGAGCGTGAGTGGGCTCGAGGGACGTAGGGTTGGGGTACGTTACAACGGTCTCGAAAACTAAGACGTGTGTGAATACACCCTCCCCTGTCACCTTGAGCCGAGGAGGCAACTACGTAGTTGTCTCGGTTGCAAGTTCTAGCTAGAATTTTGTGTGCTGTGAGGCCTACCTGTTTCAGTGGTGCGTCCACGAGCAGGGCCATAACTGTAGGTTGGATAAATGCTGATAGAGATTCGAGCCACAGTTCTTTAACGATTTCAGAATCGGCTGTCGTGGGTCCTGCAAGAGATTGCAGGCGCGTGAGGTGGTGGCTCGGTTTAGCACCACCCAGGGGGTGACGTGCTAATAACGTCCTCAATCGTTCCTCCCTCGATGGGAGGAAATGTCTGAGGATCGCCTCCTTGAGACGATCGTAAACATTGGGCACATTGGAATTGAGGACAACCTCACGGACAGCTACTAAATGGTCTCCCGGTAAACATTCGAGAGCGTAGGCGTACTTCTGCCGTTGGCTTGTAATATGACGGGTCTCAAATTGAGACTCTATAACAGCGAACCAAACTTCGGGATCGTGAGGAATAAAAGATACAGGTCGAAAGTGTATAACCTGTACGTCAGAGTCTAATACGTTAATACTATTCTTATCGTTATCCGTCATGTCAAATATATTATATGTTAAAAATTAATATAAAAATATATGACAGACGTGGATAGATAAGCGATAGACTCACCAAAATTGACTTCTTTGGAAGGTTTGGTTGCGATTGCCAAGTGGTCGTAGATGTAGGTTCACCAGTTGAAGAAGATTTGACCGAAGTTGAGGCGTGTTCCAAAATTTGGCTCACCAATTGTAGCGTGGTGTCGAGTTGAGCTTGACTATGAACACCGCTACCAGACTACGTGCCAATAGACCAATAAGATTCCGGTAGGCCGAAAATCAGAAGGCAGATGATAGTAGTAGTTGCAATATATTTGTTGGCAATCTCGTGGTATCGAAAGAATACCGAGATCGTGCCTAAGGAGTACAGATGCGATCGGCAAGAAAAGATGCGTGCGTAGTCGAAAACCGCGTAGAAGCAATCGAATACAATGTAAGACCAAAATGGCTGTTATTAGCACAGTTAAACAAACGAGCACAATATAACAATCACTGGTACAATTGGTTATAATAATAATTGTTTTCATCGAACCAATCGCGTTCTGTTAACAAAAGTAGGTCACTACACCTTCTTGTTATTACGGATTAAACCTTATTGTCGTTAGTTTCTTTATTTTCCCCTCAAAATCTATTGCCTTACTTAAAAGTCCAAAAATTAAAATGGATGTTTTGATCATATTGTAAACAACTTTGATACAAGTCAATAGTGCTTCTACTTCAGCTGACATAAATATTAATGTTTTATTTAGGAGGATAAAATAAACGTAGATGTAACTATGATCAAGTAAAACGTTTAATCACCGATAAACAATACGTTATCTACTGTTTAATCAGTTATTATGTTTTCAAAGCATATTGTTTAATTAAATTTTACAAGAAAATATGACGCTTTTTGATTATCCTACACTACGTTTAAGGAGAAATAAATGAGTTTTGAAAGTTTTGAAAAAAACGTTCTATCAATATCAGCATTCTATTTCCTTGCATACTACCTTCGTGTTCTGTTGGAGACTATTGTGTATATAAAGAAACTAAACACCTTTTATTAATTTACAAAAATGAATAAATTAATTGATTTTGAAACACGGGATACGCCTTTGTTTGTTTAAAACGTTGTTACTTACATACATATAACATTTTTATATTTAAAGAAACATGTATTGGACATTAGTTATCTGAAAAATTAATGACACATTATACAATTCATGTGTATCTAACTGATAAAACACAAATTTTTCGTTTCATTACTAGCTGTCATCATACATTATTCAAGAATCTAAATGATGAGAAAAGCCAAGGTTGTTTAACATAGTGAAATTAAATAAAATATCGGAAGAAATATTAGCCTCTATAAGAATTAATTGTTATCTGAATTGAATAAATTTTCTAATTAGTGTTTTATCAAAAAAATTATTCACAGAAAAGAGTCATAGGTACAAAAAGTTTATGAGAAATTTTATAAAAGTATGAACGTACACACTGTATGATTGTTATTTGAACTTATGAAGAGACCCACTTGTAATGTAGTAAAATTCAGGAATGTTTTGACATTTCATATTGTTGTATATGAGGTGAAATACTACATTCTTTTATTCTAATAAACAAGTACAAATTGTCACTTCAATAGATATGAATTATATAAGCACCATATAGAATGTTAAAGTTGACTGTATGATGTTGGGAGAAGTACGGATTAGCAAAAAGTGTATTGTAGTATTTCTCATTTGTATGGTATAATAGTGAATCAATTTGCCTTTTCTCGTCACAAAAAACCTAGTGTTTTGTTTCGGTGAAATGTCAAATTGAACAAAAGTGGTGAAAATTATGAGAGCAAAAATGGAGTTATCTCTACATGTTGACAAGTGATGAAGACATTGTGAAGATCACCATGCTTTTGTAACATCAGTCCCGCAAACGTTATGAACTAAGGTAAAACTTGTTAAACTAAACAAAAGCAGTAGTTAGTACATATGACAGCCTTTACATAAACAAACCTTGTTTAGTTTTCATTTTTAATAACTTCTATAGACGTACAACCCAAGTGTTTTAGACAGAAATGGCCTTACAACGGAAACTGTTTTTAATAGAGAATAATTGACTTCATTGAAAGTGTTTGTATTAGTAAAAATCTGGAATCAGTAGCTAAATAGATATTGTTTTGAAGTTTCAAAGTAAAGGTTTTGAATTTGAGGTCTAGTGTGAGAAACAATATTGAAGTACAGGTGCATTCAAATGATAAGTCCAAAATAGGACAGAAGTCACCTTCTGGATATTACTATCAGCCACAATCCAACTTTACTGAAACACTAAAAATGTTAGAACAACACATATAAACGAACAATTGTTATTATTGTATATTAGAGTAAAACCTGACGACGATCTAATTGAAAACAATCGTTCGCTTATATATGTCGTTCTAATTTTCACAATGGTAATCTTTAATATACTATAAATGTTGTTTAAATTAAGATAAAGCACGTCTAGTTTATATACACTTTATGGTGATAAAATTCGTTGCAATTGAAATGAAATTCGCCAGTAAAAAGGGGATTATTGTCTGAGTTTTGTGATAAATGGGTACTATTCTTATCATTATGATTTTAAAAATATTACTCAGATTCAAATGAAGCTAAAGTAGGGTTTAGCAGTAAGTTGTTTGATAAGGTCAACACTTGGTGTTCGGTAACATAAAATAATAAAGTGTATACATCGTAAACCCTTATTTAAGATTATACTGATATCAATTAGTTGATAAAACAATCAAGAAGATTGCAATAGCCATCTGATAATGATTATCTAATATGAAATATCATCCATAAATCAAGACAAATCACTGAAGTTTATGATTAATAGCATTAATATCATTTCAAAATTTCATTTCGTTGTTAAGTTGTTCAATGTTTATTTGAATTTAATTAAAATAATTATTTGCTATTACTATTTACTTTTTAAAACAAGATAGAATATGTATTATATAATTATCAGAAGGGATTGTGTGGAGATTTTAGAAATTTCACTGGTTGAAATCATGAATCAATTGAAGCTAGACCACCATGGAAAACCTGGAAGTACTGGACGGCCGTTTCGTCCTAGTATGGGACTCCTCAGCAGTGAGCATCCACGATCCCGCTCCTCGCGAGATTCGAACCCAGGATCTATCAGCCTCGCGCCAGGCGCTTAACCAACTAGACCACTGAGCCGGCATCCAACGGTGTTAATGTCTAACTTCAACCAATCCACGAAGTTGCGCCACCGTACACCATTGTCTTCAGTGAGTTGATATTTCACAACAGACCTGGGTGAACCCCACTGGTAACGGCTTCTCACTAGAACTCCAGGAGTGTCTCTTGAAGTCAGTCACTAGTGAGCAGATGATTATTAGTATTATCAGAAGGGATTGTGTGGAGATTTTAGAAATTTCACTGGTGTACGGTGGCGCAACTTCGTGGATTGGTTGAAGTTAGACATTAACACCGTTGGATGCCGGCTCAGTGGTCTAGTTGGTTAAGCGCCTGGCGCGAGGCTGATAGATCCTGGGTTCGAATCTCGCGAGGAGCGGGATCGTGGATGCTCACTGCTGAGGAGTCCCATACTAGGACGAAACGGCCGTCCAGTGTTTCCAGGTTTTCCATGGTGGTCTAGCTTCAATTGATTCATGATTTGAACCAGTATTATATAATTGAAAAATAAACAATGTTCATTGTTTTATTAATATAATCAAGTTTTATTACGTAAATTTTAGACTGTAATTTATTATTCTAAATATTATGCTTATTAATTAGTACATTAATAAAAAAGTTTAAATATATTTCACTTATTCAAAATTATGAATGTCCTATTTAACTTTACTCTAGTTATTATTTATAATTATGTCTTATTTATTAAATTTAATATTCAGTTGGTCTTTCTTTTAATGATTCATTGTATTGTCTTATACAATTAATTATTCATTAGTTCCTAAATTTTCAAATCCTTCCATTCTAATATATATATATATATATATATATATATATATATATATTCTGTTAATTAGTTCATAATTAATAGATCTCTTTACAGTTACTTCTAATGTCGGTGTTGTTTTTAAACTTCCGATTTATTATAATTCATATTCTTCTCGTTTAATTTGTCTGGTTGGCAGTTTGTTTTAGCAAAATGTTTTTCTAGAGGATAGAGTTGTCGACCCAGGCTTGAGACTGGAAGTAACTCTAGAAGAGCTACAGGTGGAGTAAGTAAGGACCGGAGTTAGACGAAACTGTCTACTCTCCCCCTCCTTTTTTCTTCTGGTGGTTGACTGGATTATGAAGATTTCGACATCTAGGGGAAAGCATGGAATACAATGGACTTAGCAGACAACTTGGCCCTTCTATCCCATACACATGAATTAGTGTAGCAGCAGTCTCTGCATCGGTAGGTCTCAACATACACAAGGGGAAGACCAAGGTCTTCAAATACAACACGGAGAACTGCAATCAAATCACCATTGATGGCGAAACTCTGGAAGATGTAGAATTCTTCACATACCTGGGAAGCATCATAGATGAACAAGGAGGATCCGATACATACGTAAATGCACATCAAGGGCCGCATTCCTAGAATTGAAGAACATATGGAATTCAAAACAACTGTCAACCAATATCAAAGTTAGAATCTTCAATACGAACGTCAAGACAAATCTACTGTACGGAGCTGAAACGTGGAGAACTACTAAAGCCATCATCAAACACGTACAAGTATTTATAAACAGTTGTCTACGCAAGATACTCAATATCCGTTCACCGGATACCATCAGCAAAAGCCTTCTGTGGGAGAAAACAAACCAACTTCTTTCTGAAGAGGAAATTAGTAAAAGATGTTGGAAGTGGATAGAATATACATTACGGAAATCATCAAACTGCATTACAAGGCAAGCCATAACTTGGAATCCTGGAAAGAAGTGGAAAAGAGGAAGGCCATAGAACACACTGCACCGGAAAATAGAGGCACATATGAAAAGAATGAGTAGCAAATTGAAACAACTGGGAAGAATTACCCAGGACGATGTTGGATTCAGAGTGCTTGTGAGAGGTCTATGCTCCTTCACGAGGGGTAACAGACGTAAGTAAATAAGAAGTAAGTCGTTCGATTTGTAACCGTAAGGTTATCAAGATAAAAATTATATTGAGGACTATTTTTATTAAACGTTTCTTTCGAAATATGATATCGTATAAATAAGCTATTAAGTATAGCGTTATATAACTGTAGTAACAAATTAAATATTGAAGTCGGTTGTGATATAATGATATCTGAATTTTAGTAAAGAGGAGTTTGTCAATGATATACTGATAATTGATTCGACAAATATTGAATATCTTTAAATTTCAAAAGATTCTTGCAATCACTGTTGCATTGCAAACACATTCTAAAGACCAATTAAACGATTCTAACTGATTGGTTTCAATTTATTGTATTACCTTATCGAAGTAGAAATCACTGAATATCATTTTCACATTTAATTTCGTATAAACGTATACCGACTACTTTTTTCGAATAGATTTTATAACCATTTTCATTAGGAATTATAAAGATGAAGATATTTGGAAATACATAAAATGCCTTAAGTGCAGATATAACTAGAGTAATCGAGAAATTTAATATAGTCTAATTCTTAAATTGTGTTTTTGCATTTTATCTTATTAGGCAGTTAATGTTGTTTGTTGCTTCAAAATCTACAATATTTTAGAGCATGGAATGAAGTAACCTGGAATAACATTTAATGAAGTCTATCATAGTATCATTCTTAGCATAACTGGACGGTTTTGACGGCGGTTGTATGTTTTTCTTCTGTTAGTTTGAAATGATTGTAGATGGAGAGAAAAACGTGTATTTTTTGCTTAATGTTTAGAAGAAATAAAGACTGTAACAGATGTCTTTTTAAAATAATATTAAGATTTCAGTAAGATCAATGTCATTTATTATGTTAATCAAGAAGCAAACAAACAAAAGATAGATATATTAATTATTTGTGAAAAATAAAGCATTTTCATCAGTTAGTTACTCAGCGGTAAAGACAAGATAAATAAGCAATCAAACGAATGACTTAATCCTTAGTGAAATAAAGTCAATATCCTAAACTGACAAAGTATAGACTTTAAATTAAATTGTATAATCTAGTGTACGGACATTTTCTGTGACATAAAAAGAAATATCTGGATTCATTTAAGATTAAGTTTTAAATTATACGAAAGCGAAGCTTGTCAGCTACCGATGGGAAATATGGTTATTGTCAATTAGAGATTATATACAATATAGATAAGATTTAAAGAAGTTTGTTATATATATATATATATATATATATATATAGTAGAATTTATACATAAATGATACAAAATGCGTAGGTACCTTGTTAACAGTGTGTTAACTAAAGTAAAAGCATAGAGATTTTATGAAATATATTTTTTTGTTAACGGCTTCTTACTAGAACTCCAGGAGTATCTCTTGAAGTCAGTCACTAGTGAGCAGATGATTATTATCAGAAGGGGTTTTGTGGAGATTTTAGAAATTTCACTGCGGGATGGGATCATGGATGCGCACTACTGAGGAGTCCCATACTAGGACGAAACGGCCGTCCAGTACTTCCAGGTTTTCCATGGTGGTCTAGCTTCAATTGATTCATGATTTCAACCAGTGAAATTTTTAAAACAATCTCCACAAAACCCCTTCTGATAATAATCATCTGCTCACTTGTGACTGACTTCAAGAAGCATTTCCTCGGGTTCTGGTGAAAAGCCGTTATCAGTGGAGTTCAACCAGGTCTGTTGTGAGATATCAACTCACTGAAGACAATGGTGTACGGTGGCACAACTTCGTGGATTGATTGAAGTTAGACATTAACAACGTTGGATGCCCGCTCAGTGGTCTAGTTGGTTATGCGCATATTTTATTGTATTAGAAAGTTTAATAAATAGAGAAAAATATTGAATTCTTTACTTTAATAAATTTATTTAACCATTCATAAACTTTCTATATCGCCCACTTTACTCAAAGCATATTCTTTGTCTAATATAATTCCAATTATATAAAAAATTAACCAATCAAATTAATTCACTATAAAATTAATCAAATAAAATGGAAAATATTCATTCAATTAATTTTTATTAAGAAATTTATTCACTATTTAAGTAAATAAACTTTAAATTAAACATCATTTAAATGACATTTAACTTATGTTAAATAAACAATAATTTGAGGAATAAATCGTTTTCTATTTATATTAAAATCTGTTTTTCAAATTATTTCCAAAGTAAGTGATTTATTTAAAAAAAGAATATATATGAATAATTATTGATTATTTAAATTAGTTATGATTAAGTAGATGTTTTGCTTTAAAAAGTTACTTGTTGAATTAGGAATGATTATGGTTTATTTATTTATTTTTAAAATATATCTATATGAATAGTGAATTGACAGAATGAAATGAAATATTATTTGGAATTTTTAATCTTTTTTGAAGTTGATATAATCTAATAGATTTTTATATGAGAAGAAATTTTGTGAAGATTATAGTAATCTCAATGGTTGAGATCATGAACCGATTGATGTTAGATCACCATGGAAGGCCTGGAAGCATTGGACGGCCGTTTCGTATTATCGTGGGACTCCTCAGCAGTGTGCATCTACGACCTCGCCCCCCGCGAGATTCAAACCCAGGACCTATCAGTCTCGCACGCGAGCGCTTGACCACTAGCACAATAAGCTGGCATCCAACAGTGTTAATGTCTAACTTCAACCAATCCACCAATAGATTTTGTAAAGATTAGTTGATGTACTGACTACAGATAGATCTTCGTCAAAGAAATTATTATATAGAACTGATTATTAATCAATTGTTAAATAGTCACTATGGTAATCAAAATTTCAAAATATTGTTGTCGTTTCATAATTTTTTACTACTTATCTACTTTCCATTGGAAATTTATCATATTCTGAAGTAAGCAGTTGCATAAATGTAAACAAATATTTTACTTTTTGCAGAAGTTTGAAAAATTGAATATTAATTTTTTAAATGGCTCTTTATAGGATGTTATCGAATCAAACTATGCATGATGAAAACATCAGTAACTTTTTCCATATCTCACATTTTAACAGATCAGTGATAAAAAAGACATTTCATCATTTTAACAACATTGAATCAAACAAAGTGTATTAATAAACATGCGTTCAAGTAATTTATACAATCTTTCTCCATTGAATAAAAATTTACGTCATCTGGTAATTCCATATAAAAAAATACAGAATGAAAAGTCCTTATTTTAATATCTGTAGACTACATATTATTGATTAAGATCACTTATTATTAATGATTTGAGCATAGAACCGAATGAATCAGCGTAAATAATTTTTCTGTTTAATTTTAAACACTCAGTAAATGTTTAAAATGCTTTTTTTTCATTTAAAATTCATTAAGTGATTAATGTGATTATAAAATTTGTCAATTTTAAAGTAGTAAGATGCATTTCTTCATTGTAAAATGTTGTTGATAAATTACCAAGAAACCGTTGTTTTGATTATTCAATGATTTTAGTATATTAATTACAAATGTAAGTTAATATAATTATATTTAATTCTAAACATTTAGTCATTACACCCTTTCATCGAGTTTTTTTCTCTGAGCTGGATGGCTTGGTTATGGATCTTTTATCGTTATTCTGAACAACATCATCAGCACAAACTTCCACGACCAAAGTATTCAGCTCAAAGTATAAAACTCCATCAAAATCATCCACCTGAGCTACATATCTTTTCCACCATCACGCTCTTTACACATTTCTTATTGATTTGTATAATAAAGTACTTTGACAGAAAATTAACTGTTTGATAAGGTAACTTTATCACACGCGTTAGGTTGTAAACCATCTTATTTGAAATAAATTAGGTAACTTTATATTGATTTTTACTTGAGCTTTATAAAATACATTTGAAACTTATTTGTATAAAAACAGGATTGAGTAATGCTACTTTTAATAAGATTAGAATAAAATTATGTATAAGATTGTTATTATCTTTGAACAAATACAAATATTTGATACTCAATTTGTAATTTATAACTAATATCTGTTAATGAAATCAAAATACACATCTTAAATTTTACTGATCATCTCTAAATTTAGCTATTACCGGTAAATGTACTAAATTCAAGTTACTTACATGTTGTTTAAATTTTATATTGTCTTACTGTTAACATTAGTTCCTAGAAATTTGATAAAAGCCTCATTTTTTGAATTGTTTCATGTTTAACTCAAATGAAAATCATTAAATTTTATAGTTAATTTAAATTGAATTTCTTCACATTATTTGGAATTACCACTCAAAATATATAACACTTTATTAAAATATCTAGATTGATTTTTTGAATAATAATGATAAATTGTTTCTATCTGTTTTGTAATCTTGTCGTATCAAATTATAATCAAAAGTCAAATTAAATCCATGAAATTACAGTCTTGTTTTTTCAGCGATATCAAAATACAGTGACAAAGTTTGACTAAAAGATATTTGAACAGAGAAAAATTTGATATAATGTTAGAAAAGGAATAAAGGGAAACATGATTTCATGATTTCTACTTTATATTTAATACTTTCATGGGTAGTTTAGTATACTTATTTTGTGTGTCAAAGATACTTTACTGCATATTGACGTATGTATATTTTTTATGATACGATGGTATACGAATATATATATCAGAAGGGGTTTTGTGGAGATTGTTTTAAAAATTTCACTGGTTGAAATCATGAATCAATTGAAGCTAGACCACCATGGAAAACCTGGAAACACTGGACGGCCGTTTCGTCCTAGTATGGGACTCCTCAGCAGTGAGCATCCAGCCCACTGCGAAATTCAAACCCAGGACCTATCGGTCTCGCGCCAGGCGCTTAATCATCTAGACCACTGAGCCGGCATCCAACGGTGTTAATGTCTAACTTCAACCAATCCACGAAGTTGAGCCACCGTCACCATAGTCTTTAGTGGGGAGGGCGGGATCGTGGATGCGCATTGCTGAGTCCCATACTAGGACGAAACGGCCGTCCAGTACTTTCAGGTTTTCTATGGTGGTCTAGCTTCAATTGCCTCATCGTTTTAACTAGTAATATATATATATATATATATATATATATATCATACATGAATGATTACAAATGAAGCTAATGATGTATATGAGCATAATATTGACAGATGAACCAGTTATAAAAATAAAACAGTTACACAGTAATTTAGTAACAATTTTTAAATAAATTCAATCGACGTTCCTAGAATTTATTATTGAATAAATGAAAATACATAAATTAATCAATGAAAATCATATGAATAAATATTTTTCAATCAAATTATTTATTTCAAAATTGAATACAGTTCCAGTTAGCAATAATACATAATCAATAAAAAAGAAACAACTAGCTAAATAAATTTACATTGATAAACTTAAGAAAATGTTACATTATAGAATTACTGCTTTCTATTTACTGTACATTAAAGAGAAGTTTTATGTTCCTAAATTATACTTAACTGAAAAAAGAAATAGAATATTATGATCAGATCTTTCATATTGTTTAATGTTCTTAACTACTTATAAGGTTTATAAATAAATTAAATCGCTTGCGAGACGGATCGTTCCTGGATTCGAATCTCACGGGGCTGGATCGTTGGTGGGCACTGCTGAGGAGTCCCATTCTAGTACTAGTACCTAGTACTTCCAGGTTTTCCATGGTGGTCTAGCTGCAACTGATTCATGAATTTAATTATTAAATTACTACAATCTTTACAAAACTCTCTCTTATTAAGTGAACATTGACAAAATGAGTCGTCTGGTTTACTCTGATAAAACTAAAACACAATGGAAAAATGTAAATTCGACTGAATCAGATGTAAATTATTTATTTATATAACTGTTCGTTAAACATTATCAAATAACCACTTCTAAATAGTTAATGCAAATCAACTTAGTATGAAAAAGTATATAAAATTTATCAAGATTTTTATTTGAATTAGGCATGATTAATTTTTGTCCAGAACAACTATCAGAAATAAGAAATAAGCTCACAGAATATAACAACTTCAAATGAATCTACTTTGTGAACCCTTAGTTCATCTGTTCAAATGATACTGATACATTGAATAATTTTTTAAAGTTATATATAGAAACTCAAATAAAGGTATTTAATTTGGTCAACATTTGATAGTTGGATCAAATGCTATTTTATTTTTTGATTTATTATCTAAATAATTTTAAATAATCCAATAGATTATAGTTAAACAAGATGTTTTAATGGTATACAATTATTGTTTAAATATTCATACTACTAACAACTATTGAATTATAAATATCATTTACCAAATAATTCACTCGAGTCAAATTAAGCCATAGATACTATTTATTTATCATAAGTAATTTTGTGATGTGTGCTACTTATAACGACATAAGTAGTACATGACGTTAGTCAAAAACAGGATGTCTGGCAGCAGAGAGACAAAAAGATCGAACAGTAAAAAATGAGAATAGGAAGCAGTTTGTATGAAAATGCAAGAACAATGAAGACTGAGTCATTTTAAAACAATTGATGGACATTTTGCAAATTAAGCATTCACTATATGATTATTTTATTAACAAGTTCTGTAATTTTCTGTCAAATACATTCGATTGTCCTCACTGGTGTTCTTGTTCACTACAATTTCATTTTTGTAATATAAACATATACAAAATACTTGGTAATAAAAAGGTTTTACCTCTATTTTAATGAAAACTAATTTAATAATTATTTCACTAAGAACTCATTAAATAATAAAATGAAGAATATTTGAGCAAACAATTGTTTTCAATCACTTCATCATCAGGCTCTACAGTTATAAGTCCATAATTATTGTGGTATTTTACAAAGGCCAAAATAATACATGTATTAATGAATTTGACAATGTTATGTGTTAAAAATGGTGAAACGTTTGCATCTGTTATTTACAAATTAGAAAGGTCATTCAATTAAGGTCAAAATGATTCGGAGTAAAGTGTCCAGTCACAATAAGTAGAATAGTATTATAGCAAAACTGATTTGAGCCTTTATTATTCTTTTAAAAACTAGTACACCTGTCATGACACTATCTATTTGTACTTTTCACATATTATGTAATCGTTTTATTCAATGTCATCATTGATTTAGAAACTGAAAATGCCAAAACAAAATTGTGTGAATAAAATGCATAGTAGGAGAATTTAAACTTGTCAGTTGAGATAATAATAATATAGTTGTGTG